TTAGTGTGATTGGCTTTATGATTGAAGGTTACGCCCTAGAGTCTTTTTACTGCTTTGTAATTGGTTAAAGTTTTGAAAATGAATAAAGAGAGTTTGAGTCGGTCTTGAGGAATACTCCACGATAGACGCAGTAGAGAGAGGCAGTCCTGAAGAGTCGTGGTCCAGTCCTGGAGAGCCTTGGGACGAGTGTTGACGCAGTCTAAAAGAGTCTTGGGTCAACCTTGCGATAGTCTTGGGGACTTTTCCCCAGGGCGCTGTGTCTTATAGAGTGCTCGATTGACCGACTAAGACGAGAGCTGAAACGTAATTCGTTGTGTGTGTCTTATTTGACTGTAAGGTATAAGTGACTTTCCCGATCCCATACCTCAAGGGGACGCGATAGAGAGACGAGACGAGTTTCCCCCCTGACAAGTGTGGAGACCTTGAGAGGAGAAAGAATTTACCGCCTGACACGTTTTGGATGAACCCGGGCAGGTGTTTAACACACATTGACATCCTGAGAAGAAAAGTGAAATGGCGAAGGTGTGTCTTTCTTGCGAACCGAACTAACAGCTCCATGGCAGAGATGACTCAGAAACCGCGCTTGACGACTAACGGCTTTACCAGTATGGCACCGATGTACAACGCTGAAGAGATGAAGACTTCGAAGCCCCTTCGGAAGGACAAGTATCGTATAGGACTGTATAATTAAGAATTGAGCGACATTAAAGACAAGAAGATGACATAGAACGACCCCGGACTAACGCGATGACAAGAGGAGACGCTTATAGACTTTGACTTTAGCTATATGTGTATTGCTTAGAGAACCGCTCGTTGGACACTGTAACTGACACTGTGTAACTCAAGACATTGAACTCTTTTCCACAATCCCAACACCATTGCTCAGTAATGTAATGTATTGCTTGCTTTTCCTATCGTTTTTACCGTTTCTTTTAGTGATGTTGAATTGTATGTATGTAAGCGCCCAGAGCTTTGTTTTGAACTGATATTTAGTGACGTGCGAGGTCCTTTATAACGATTTAAGCGCGCCTCAGTGGACAAGTATTTGCAACACAGTGTTATGAGTTTTGTGAAGTTTATAGTGTTTTAATGAGTTTATGAGTACGGAATATGATGGGGAAAGTAATGCCCCAATGAGTTTTTTAAGAGTTTTGAGATTTGTCGATGTATGAGATATCGACGTTTTAAGAGTTGTTTTTGTTTATGTGTTGTTTCCGGAATACTTCTGACGCTTTTTGAGTTGATAGCACCTTTGTAACGTTTTTTAATGTCTTTTTGAGATGAGAGTTTGGTGCGCCTATATATGTATTGTTTGATAACGCAAGCTTTTGTTGCCGTATGACTTGTGTTTAGATTAACGACTTTTGAGTTCAGTTGAAGTTTATAAGCGTATATGACAGGAGTTTGATTAATAGCTTTTTTTTCATTGTTTATTAGTTACCGCTTTGCAATGCTTTAACCGAGAGACGCATCCCTGGTATTCACGTGATCATGCTGTCGACTGCAGCGATGGGCTGATTCGTATGGTTACACCGCCACGCCTTAGTTTTTTTGACCTTTTGATATAGAGTTTGTAACCTTAGTAACGGAGACAGTGCAGCGAAGGGTTATCTCATCGAACTGTTTTGAGAAAAGTGAGTCTATTGGTAGCCTTTCCCTTGTTTTTGATTTATAACCGTTGATATTTGTGACTTTATAACCATTGTATTTAGACTTTATAATTATTGTACTTAATTAGTGTGTTTTACTCTTTTTGATTTATACCTTTTATTAGTATTGTATTTAACCCTATGACGATGAGTGGCTGACGGTATCTTTGATTTATGAACGTGTTATGCCAGGAGGCACAATCTCAGTTTGGGTGAAGGGATGTGTCATGAATCTTGTTTTTGCGTATCTGTTGACCGACTTAATTAGTTGATTATTAGCTGAATTGCTGTGTTATGTCTGTCATCGTTTAGGCCTATTTGAAGTTTTGGACGGAACTTGGCTCAGTGATTTGGAACTTATTACCAGATAACCGTCGCGATTCTGACAGTTGGTATCCATAGTTATTAATGTAGTGAACGATTAATCAAAAGATATGACGTATTCAGTTC